AGGAAGGAAGGAAGGAAGGAAGGGAGTACGATGCAGTGGGAGGCTTTCTCTGTCCCAACCTCAGTAGCTTTTCTGCAATGACCAGCTGGGCAGTGCAAGGGTATTGCAACCCCGCTCAAAAGCATAGAGAGAGCAGTAAAGATGCTTTGGATTTTATTACTAAATAAATAATTCAATAAAACCTTGTGCAAAATAATACTGTCAGAGGAGACTCACAATCCCCAGGCAGAGCCAACACCTGAGCCTGCCTGCATGTTTTCGGCCTACAGGAACGTCACAAAGCAGCTAGGCAGGTGGGCGCCTTCACAGGAGCCACTCTGGAGGATCGCTGGATACTTTCTGAATCGGGGCCCTTAGATCTGCCCCACAGCCTGTCCCCGAGTGCGGAGGTTGCTTGGCGGCCCTTAGATCTGAGCCGCCTCCTTCCTCCAGCTGTGAGGGTAGCTGGGCTTGTGCGTGTTTGCTCCGGTTGAGCGCATGCTGTCCAGGGGCACCACCACCTCGTCCGGCTGAGCATTCTTGTTCAGCTCCACCACACGAGGCACCACCGTTGACCAGCGATCTGCACCCCACCAGGGAGAGAAGGGGGGTCGTTAGAAGACGGGGGGGCTGGACGGTGCCACCGAGTCCGCAGCCCCAGCATTTCTGTGGGGAGCAGAAGAGCCACCCAGCTGCCCCCTCACCTCTGCGCAGGCGCCCCACGGTGTGAGAGAAGCCGTAATACTGGTAGGTGTCGTTCTTGCCGGGATCCTCATTGATGATACCCAGGTTCTGGTTCCAGTGAGACCAGTTCACCTCGTCCACCCTGCCAGGGAGAAAACCCGGCCCTTGAAGGTCGGCATTCCCCGGGGGAGGTGGGGGGCAAGTCCAAAGGACCAAGGGGTCAGGGGACCAGTGGGCAGGCCAGCCCTTTCTCCACCAGGCGGAGTCTCTTGGCTTAGGGGGCACTTTAAAGGACATTGACCCCCACCCCCATAAGTGCCTCTTGGGAACTCTGCTGGGGCTGAAGCTGGGGTCTCTAAAGGATCATTGGATGCAGCCAGCCACTTCCTGAGCCCCCCAACCCCGTAACCCTTCCAGGTCAGAAGAGAAAGGGAGTCGGGAGACTTGGAGAGCAGCTGGGTGGTCTCCAGATGTGGAGGGGGCTCCCATGACCATCTGCAGCAGCACCTCCTCCTGCTCAACCAGACTGGGGGCCCCATGCTCTCCTCCTCCCCCTCCTCCTCCAGTGGGGCTGATGGTTCTGGCCAGAACTCGAGAGGGGGGGGGAGTTGGGGTCTCTACCTGAAGCACCATCTTCGGTCGGGGGCCCCATCCAGAGACTTCCCCACGGTGACCATCTCTCCCGAGCGGAAGGCCTTCCGGACGAACACGGGGAAGGAGCGCTCAATGTCCAGGATGGTGGTGGCCCACTAGGGATGGAGAAGACCAGGGCGCCTCAGCCAGGCTGCCCCTCCCGGGCTCCCTCCCGCTGCTAAGCCGCCTACCTGCAGCTTCCAGATCTTCTTGCTCTCCTTGGAGACCTGCCCCACCGTCTCCCCCATGAGGGCGATCAACATGTTGAGCAGGAGGACGAAGGTGAGGATGATGTAGGTGACCAGGAGGATGACGAAGACCCCCGGGTACTTGGCGTTCTCGATCATCTCCAGGTCCCCCATGCCGATGGTCAGCTTGAAGAGGTCCAGCAGGAAGGTGCTGAAGGTCTTGCTGTCCCGGCAGGAGGGGTAGGCGGGCGCCGTGCAGTTGGAGCGGTCCCCACGGCAGGACTCGGCACTGGGGCAGGGGTTCAGCAGGGAGACCAGCGCTGCCGGAGGGGGGGAGCCTTTAGCCCGGTCTCTGGGCACCTTCCCTCCTGGCGCGGGAGGAGCCCCAGAGGCCCAGCTGGCAGGCTTTGCAGGGCGAGGGGCTTACCGGATGCGTAGCCGATCATGAAGAGGACGTAAACCAGGAGGAAGCGGAAAAGGTCCTTGAACAGGATCTGTGGAGGAAGCAGGCAGGTGAGCTCCACCCCTGGGACCTCAGCGGTGCTGGGATGTAGACAGTCCTCGACTTGTGACCACAAGGGGGACCCGGATTTTGATCCGGTGATCCTGGCGATGCTGCGAGCCCCCATTTGAAGCAACCCCAGCTGGGTCCCCCCACCGTGCCAGGGCAAAGGAAGGGCGCCTGGCTCTCCCTCACCTTCTGGATCATGATGCTGTAGGTGCCCGTCAGCTTGAGGCCACGGGTGAAGTAGAGGGCGTTCATCCAGCCCAGCACCAGCGCAAAGACCATGACCGCCAGGTAGGCCTCGATGCCAGCCAGGTAGAGAGCAGCTGCAACCAGGACCAGGACGGAGTAGATGAAGCTGCAGGGGGTGGAAGGCCGGGGCCGGCAAGCAGGTTAGCACACAGGCAGCCGGGAGGGGGCACACCCATGGGAGCCCACCCACGAGGCCACAACGTCCCCTTTAGAAGACCCTGAAGAGGGCGTCCTCTCCTGCAGCTGGCCAAGTAGGAGGCTTTGGGGGTCAGGCCCCCCAAACACGCGCAGAGCTGACTTTCCCTCTTCCACTCACTAGAGTAACTGAAAGGAGCTGTCGATGAAGAAGGAATTCACCCCCGGGCATTTCTTCATGAACAGATCCTTGATCTGGGGGAGGGGAAAAGACCCCGTTGGAGACGGAAATGAAGCCGCAGCCAAAATCTCCAGACAGAAGCTGAAAAGGCCGGGGAGGCCCAGAAGCATGGAGGATATTTTGGGGAGGGGGGAAGGAAGGGAGAGTCGCAACCCTCCAGTATGCAGGGAACGGAAGGAGGGATGGGAAGGGGGCTGGAGGAGGAGAAAGAGGGGGGGGGCTTCCCAGGCAAGAAGACCCCCCCCCACCTGCACTTACATTGGTGAAGAAAAAGAGGACCCCTGTGAAGAGGGTGATGATTTCTCCCGCCAGGCGAAGGTAGTCCGGGGTGGTCGTGTACGGGAACGGGGGCTGGGGGGGAAGGAAAGGAAGGGCGCTGAAGATGAACGCAGAGCCTCTGTGGACGGGAGGTTGCTCAGGTTGTCCCCGGCAATTCCTGCCCACATCTGCTCAGGCTTCTTGCAATGGGAGAAGGGGCGGTGTACTCACTGTGCCCTCCAGGGGGCGGTAGTAGGCCACCAAGGTGAAGATAACCATGGCACAGAGGTAGGAGACCACGCTGATGTAGAAGGAGACGGCCCCAAATTTGCGCCACTTGTCTCGCAGCAGCTCGTTGATGGGCTCCACGGCCAGCATCTCATGGCGATTCTGGGCAGGGGGCAAGCGCCCCGTGAGGAGCCAGTGGGCAGAGCCTTCCCACCTACTGAGGGTGCCCCCTTGCCAGCCTCCTGCCAGGCTCACCTCAATCTTGCTATTGTAGACCAAGATCTCCAACACGGACACCTCCTCCCCGCAGGTGTCCAAGGAGGACAGGTCGTAGAGGGAGGAGTAGACGGGCCCATAGGCCCAGTCTCTGAACTTGCGGGAGAGGTGCCGCGCGTCCTCGTCCTTCACCTCCCGGCGGATGATGTGCTGGAACATCTACAGGTGGGGGCGAAATCGCTCTGATGGACTGAGGAGGGGACCTAGCTGGGTCAAAGGGATCGGGGACAGATTCCCATCCCAAACGGGACCCTTGGAGTCTCTCTGCCAACCTGATTTAGACTCTCGAGTGAGTCCTCAACTTGGTGCCCCCCACCGGCCCCATCTCACCCCTATCTTTCCGGTCTTGGCCGCCATCATGAGTGGCGAGAGGCCATCATTGTTCAGCAGGGCTTCCAGGTTGGTGTCTGGGAATAGCTTGGCGCACTTGATGAGCAGCAAGTCGTACATCTTGGTGACGAACTTGGTGTTCTCGCGGGTGTTGTCCGCAATGGCCACCAAGGCATGGAGCACCGTGTTGCCCCGCGAGTCCTGCCGCCGGAGGTCGGCCTGCTTGTGGGCGTTCTCCGTCAGGTAGTGGACAATGTGGGGCTGGTTGGTGCAGGCGGCCAGAGAAAGGGGCAGCTCCCCTGCGCAGAAGAGGAGAAATGGGCAGGCTCAGCTCATCCATGACCCCCCAAAACCAGCTTGGAATTGCAGTGGACATGCAGGCTCTTCCAGTGTTAGGGGGTCCAATTTAACATGCTGCATGTCTCCCATTCTGTCCCTTGTTGGACCCCAGATCCCTTCTGTGACTTGACCCCTCAATTTTCCATCCATTCAGAAGCTCCCCACCCTGGGTAAAGTAGCCCCCTTGGCCTTCCTGCCTCCTCTCCCCTTCGTTGTCTTCATGGCCCACAGGTGGACTGTAGGCTCCCAAACCTTTGGGCATCCATGGCCAATCTGGAGGAGAAGATGTCCAGGAGAGACCCGCAGCCATTCCCAGAGTCCCGGGACTCCCCCTTGACTCACCAAAGTAGAAGTAGCCGCCCTCGTCTTTGGGCTGGAAGAAACGGCCCCGTGCCTGGGCGTGCACGTCGGCCCCCTTCTCCACCAGCAGCTCCACGTAGTGTTTGCAACGTCGCTCGATCGCGATGTGCAGGGCGGTCTGACCTGAAGAAGCACAACTGTTTGTGGAGAGCCACACTGCTCCTTCGAGCCCTCCCTGCCCTTCTCGTTGCCCCCACGGCTGGGACCCTCTGCGCACTTCCTGCCAGGTTCCACAGGCGTGAAACGAGCACCCGCCGGGAGGGGGCTCAGCATGCGGACACCCAGGTCTCCATGCTGAAAACGCGTTCAACCTGTTGCTCCCGAGAGTCACCTCTAATTGTGTGACCCAGTCCAGGCAAATGAAGGTGCCCGGTCCAACACAGCTGTTTTCCAGGCATTGGCCTTTCAGATGGTCCCTGCCCCCGCCCCCGCATGTGGCTCAGAATTAGGTGTCCGTTTATCTGCAATTCTGAGACTGGTGCAGGTAAACGCAGAAGAACCGGGGGGGGGGGGGGACTGACTGAGCCTCCTTCGCTAGGGAAAGCAGCTCCCCAGGGGGCTTCAGAGGGGGGGCTTCACCTCGGTAGAAGACGTCTCGGAAGGGAGCGTTGATGAATTCCCGCATGTTGCCCGTTTTCTCGGCGATGTCCAGCAGGAGAGGGATGGTGTCATTCCGGCCACCGTTGAGGTTCAGCAGGGCCTTGGGGAGGCACGTCTTGCCAGTGGAGAGCTCTGAAGCAGGCAAAAATGGGCACCTCTGTTACGCCGATGGCTCCCCCTTTCTTCCTGGGCTCCCCCTTTTGTCCTCACAACAGCTCTGTGAGGTAGGCCGGGCCAGGAAGGGGAGGCAGTCTTAACATTGCCAGCGGTGCCACCTCACTCATCTGGGCCCCCAGGCTGCCTTTGCCCCACTGTGGGCTGACCACTGCGAATGCCACCCCACCCCTCTGCTCCACCAGCTGTGGCATCTGGTGGCACCCAGCTGTGGCACCCCACCCTGGCACGCCTAGCACAGGTGCATCAGGCGCTGGCCTCTGCGGCTGAAGTGGCCACTTCCTCTCAGCAGCACTTTCTGGCTTTCCTGCCCGCTGAAGCAAAACTGGCCCAGGATTTGGAAGAGGCGGTTCTGGAGGGAGCAGAGAGACGGGCAAGGGGGCATCTCCGCAGGACCCGATTCCCTGCATTCGATCTGCCAGGATGTGGCTTCCTTTGAGCCCCCAAGCCTGGGCTGAGTGGGGCTGCAGTGGGCTTGGGGACCCCTGCAGCCGATGATGCCCCGGTTGCCCATCTCCTCTCCTTTCTCCCCCCACCCTCGCATCCCCCCCGAGCCCCCACCCCCACGGACCCCCTGCCTCGCCCACCTCGGAACTCCTCGTCGGTCAGTCGCTTCTTGTGGCTGAGCAGGAAGGGCAGGAGGCCGTCCAGCCCATCCAGGGAGCCCCGGGAGACGATGTCGAAGAGGATGGGCCGGTTGAAGATCTTGAGGATGGGTGGGGGGTTGGGGGCGGGGCCCTTGGCGCTGGAGTGCTTCTTCCTGGGGGGGAGGGGCCGGGGGGAGAAGGCAGCTCAGCACCACCACTGGGGAGGGCAGCACCCCCCCAAGCAAGCAGAAGGGAGACCTGCACCCCAAGAGGCCTGGGCCCCCCTACTCACTCCAGGACCCGCTTCCGCCTGCGCTTGTTGTCGCTGGGCAGGTGGCGGTAAGTGCCGTAGTCGAAGAGGGAGTCCATGGGGGCTTTCTTGGGCCCCGGCACCACCGAGGACTCGTAGATGGTGGACTCCAGCAGCTCCATGGGGTTGGGCACCCCCTTCCGGAAGGCCCCGTGGAACTTCATCCGCAGGTTCTGCTTGCCGTCCCCTGAGCCGGGGGGGCTGCGGGGGGCCTCGCCGGACCCAGAGCCCTCCTCGCCCTCAAACAGGTTGGCCAGGGAGGAGAGCGGGAAGGCGTCGCCCTGCGGGGGGGGCTCCTCGGCTGGGGCCTCCGGGGCCTCGCCAGGGCCGGCCTGGGGGCTGTCCTCCGGGTCGCCCATCCTGTGCACAGCTGAGAGGTCTGGCGGAGGGAAAGATCCCTGGTCAGAAGCCAGGCAGGGGGCCGAGGCGCCCGTGGCACACAGGGCCTTCCGGGGCCGGTCGCAGTTGGCTTTGACGGGAGATCCCCTCTTTTCAGCCTGGTGGAAACCCAGAGAAACCCCTCCTCCTCCTCCTCCTCCTCCTCCCCCACACCCCCCCCCCCCCCCGGGCGGAAAGCCCCCCCCCCCCGTGTGCAGCCATGGGAAGCCTGAAGCTTTGGGGGTGTTCTGCCTGTTTGAAAAGGGTCTCGGGGGCTGGGAGGGATCATCCCTGCTTGGTCTCCTTCTTTCCAATTCTCTCCTGAAACCTTCCATCACCGAAAGGAAAGGGAAGCGGGGGGGGGGGGAGCCCTTTCCAAGCCTGAAGCGCCCCAGAGCAAAGGGGGCTGCAGACTGGCGGCTGGCCTGGCATTTTCCCTTTCAACAGAGGCCCCCCTCTCCTCCCGAAGTAAAGGCCCCAGGACCACCCACCTCTGCTCTCCGGATCAAGGCCCCGTGGCTGGGGTGAAGAGGCAGCTCCACACACTCTTCCCAGACGTGGCTGTCCTGGCTGGGGGCTGCTGTGCCTGACCCACATGGCCCCTCCCTCCCAGGGGGCACAGCCTGCCTGCTACTCAGAGGGGCCTTTGAGAGCCTGGCCACCGGCCGGCCGCTCACTTCAGGCTCAGCCCAGCCAGGAACAAGGAGTGCTTTCACAGCTCCTGGAAACCTCACCCGGACCCCACCCAAAACCCAGACAGGCGGCGGGGGGAGGGGGGAGGGAGGTGCGGCACTCCTGGAGGGGCTGCCAGCAGCCGTCCTCCTGGGCTCCACTGCAGTCTGGTAGAGGAGGCTCTTTCGGAGGTGCCCATTCTCACCAGCTGGGGGCCTTCTTTTGGGGGGGGGGCCCGGGGGGGGAGAAGCTG